TGATGATGATGGTGGTGGTGGGGATGGTACAGATGATGAGGATGTTGATGATGTTGACGAGAGCATGATGATGACGATGATTATGATGCTGCTGATGAATGGGATTATGCTATGAGGGTGACCGTGGTCATGACCAGGTTAATCAATGTGAGGATGAGGATGGTAAGGATGCGGACGATACTGGGGATGATGGCGATATTGATGCTGGTGGGGGTGGTGAGGATGATGTTGATGAGGATGATTTGGACGATGGGGTGATGCTGCTGCTGACGACGATGACGGTGATGATGATGACGATGATGTTGATGAGGACGAGGGTGAGGATATGATGCTGTGGCTACGAGATAAGCTGGTGATGATGATGAGGAGGAGGATGAGGACGAAGAGGATGAGGATGATGGTGGCGAGGATGAGAATAGCGAGGGTCGTGATGTGGATGATAGGACGATGGTGATGATGGCGAAGCTGAGCGAGCTGATGATGTTGATGATGACCATTGCGACGATGGTGATGATGACGGTGATGCTGATGATGCTGATGTGAGTTGATGATGATGATGGCAACAACGATGATGATGATGAGGATGGTGGTGATGATGGTGATGATAATGATGATGGTGATGGCGATAGTGATTACGATGATGAGGTTGGTGATGATGATGAGGGTGGCGATGGTGATGATGATGATGATGATGGTGTTGCTGATGATTATAACGAGGATGATGGTGGTGATGATGATGAGGAGGACGATTACGATGACGAAAGTGATTATGTTGATGATGGTGATGATGGTGTTGATCATGATGATGGTGACGGTGGTGGTGGTGTTGACGATGGATATGGATGATGGTTGTGGAGGCGATGGCGATGGTGACGTTTGTGATGGTCAGGATGATGGTGATTGCGATGACGATCATGGTGATGATCATGGCGATGCTGCCGATGACGATGACGATGACGATGAAAATTCTGAGGGCGATGGCGAGGCGCAGTGTATACGGTCGGACCGAGGTATCACGTCGAGGTCGGCTCGGGGAGGGTATCCTCATGTTTTTCGTGTTCGTTGGATGTTCTTTTGCGACATGGGGGGGGCGCCCTCGAATGTTTTTCAGTTTGGGTTGGCGGAGGGTCTCGTGTCCTTGAAGGGTGTTTTTCCGTCCTGGGTCCGGCTGTATCCTCCCGGGTGGTTCTCTGATGCGCGCGCGAGCGGGCGGATACGGAACCAGCTTGGCGGCGGGGCGCGGGAGAGCGAGCCCCTTCCGGAGCGGCGGCCCCCTCCCCCAGAACATTCCGTGGCCCCGGGGCCTCGGGTCCCAGGAATCCCCCGACGCGTGATGCGTATCGGCGGCGAGCGAGGGACGCCGCTCTCTCGTCCCTCCTCTCTTCCCCGCTTGCGTACGGGCGAATCAGCAACTCCGCAGCCCGATTTTGCTATACACGCGAGAGCGGGTTGCCTCTGCCGCGCCGCGACGGAAGATCTGATTCCTGATCTTCTATATTGTTTGTCTTATGCTGATCTCTGTTTTTTCTTAAATTATTTTCGGTGTTTTTGACTTTGCTCAGAAGGCCGGCGGACTTCTGAGAAGCCCCGCCGCCTTCTGAGAAGGCCTCCTCCTTCTCACTTCCCCCCCCGCTCGCCACCGAATGGCGTGGGAGGGGGGAGGGATGAGGGAGACATGCCAGATCGACAGTTTTTTTCTTTTTCCGTCGCGGCGCGGCAGAGGCAGCCCGCCCGCGCGTGCAGCAAAACCGGGCTGCGGAGTTGCTCAGTAGCGTTAAGTCGGGCGTGTCCCTCTACAGGAGGGATATTCAAAAGGAGTCCAACAATAGTCCGGGGACGATGGTTTGACCATTTTTAATGTTTTAATTGCTTTCTTGGGCATTTGTAGAATTTCTCGCCCAAGATCCCCCTGTAGGGGGACACGCCCGACCTAAGACTGGCCCTGCGTGTCAAGAGGGGGCGCGGAGGGAAGCGCGAGAGCGAGCGGCCCCCCTCGCTCGCCGCCGGGACGCACCGGGCGCGCGCCGAACTCGGCGCCTGGGGCCTCCGAGGGGCCCCGCGGCCACGGAGCGCTCTCCGGGAGAGGGGGCCGCCGCTCCGGGGGGGGGGGGGGGCTCGCCTTAAAGCGGGCCTGTCCCTCTACAGCGACGCTGCTCCCAGCGTGCTCAACGACCACATGCCAGAAATCATTTCGAGCACCCAGAAAAGTGTCGAAGCAGTGTCGAACGAGTATCGCCTCCCAGGGCCCGACACGTGAAAACCCTCAAGTTTCGGTACTTTTCGGGTGCTCGAAACTATTTCTGGTGATCAAGGCTAAAGTCGGTTGGAACATCCTTATTCTACAGGGGGAATATTCAAACATAGTTTTGAACATTATTTGGGGACGATTTGTTTTACTATGTTTGAGCATTCGGGGAGCATTGCTGGGGTATTGTTCTAACTTTCGTCCAGAATTCGCCTGCCGGGGGACATGCCCGACCCGAGGCTCGCTCTCCCGGGCCTCGCCGCCGAGGAGGCAGAGCGAAAGCGGCAGCGGAGGAGGGGCACGGGAAGGGCGGACGGAGGACGGGGGGAGGGGGGCCGCCGCTCCGGGAGGGGGCTCGCTCTCGCCCGCGCCCCGCCGCCGAGGAGGGCAGAGCGGGAGCGGCCGCGGAGGAGGGGAGCGGGAAGGACGGACAGGCGGGGGGAGGGGGGGAGCTGCAGGGAACGCCAGAGGCAAGGGAGGACGGACAGGTCGGGGCAGACCCCACCGAGGCCACGCGCGCGCGCCTCCCCGTGCACATCTGCTCACGCTCAAGCCCGCCTCGAGAGGTCTCGAGAGCCTATTTTTGCTGCTTCCCCCGGCAGCTCCCGCCTTCCATCACTCGAAGAAGAACAAATTCCATAAACGTAGCCTTTTGGCTGTCTGCGCGGATTTCTGGGATCTGTGCTGGGACCCCCCGGCGGCGCCTCCGGCGCCGCCTCTGGCGCGCTCCGCGCGCCAGGGAGGCGGCTCCAGCTCAGATCCATAAAAACCACGCGGACCGCCAAAAGTTTATGTTTATGCCCCAGACATGCGACGTCTTGATTTTTGTCAGGGCGGCGTCCCCCGGAAACCCGACCCTTTCCCTGGGGCCGGTTTTTCATCCTGCGCCGTTGTTTCACGGTCCTGGGGCCCGGCGAGGGCCTCCGGAGGCTGACAACGGCGAAAAATTGCCAGTCCTGAGTTCTGTTACGACGCGAGCATGTCTGGGGCCGCTTCTTCTTCTTCCTCGAACCTCCAGGCGCATCGACCTCAGGCAGCTCGGTTGGAGCAATGGCGTGCCCCATCAACTGCCACTGCGACTACGGCATGTCCGGCATCCTGGTGGGCCTCTTCGTCGTCCTCGCGGCCGGGGTGTTCACCTTCTTCCCCGTCTTCCTGAACTGGTTCGCCTGGGAGTGGTACTTCGACCTGTGCTGGCTCTGGTTCTCGGGTCGGGCGAAAGGGGGGGATTGGGAAAGGGGGGGTTACGAAATTTGCTGCATGCAGCTGGTTTCGGCCTCACCGAGGGGCCCATTCCTCGATACATAGCCGCCTCCGGCGCCGGGAGGCGCCGGGAAAATCAGCTACGTGAGCTGATTCTCAAACCCCCCCTTTGCTATCCCCCCCTTTCGCCCGACCCGAGGTTCTTCCTGGGGCTCGTCATCCTGACGTTCGGCTGCGTGTACGAGTGTCTCATCGGCTCCCCGGTGGCCAAGGCGCGCGAGGGTGAGGACGAGGAGGCCGGCACCGTTGCAGCCCCCATTCCGTACATCATGATCAACGAGTGAGTCTCGCGTCGAGCGGCCCTCGGAGTCCTCTCCTACTCCTCATCCCCGCGCCCTCCTCCTGCCCCCTCCCCCTGGGAGTGCCACGTGTGTCGTGCGACCCTGGCAAGAGGCCTCGCCACGTGGCTGACCTCGCCGCGGTCTCTCGCGCGCCTCTGGCGCCGGCCGGTTTTGAGCTCGCGCGCGCTTCGAAGCTGCCTGCGTGGTGTTGCGGCTTGGGAGTCTTGCTCGCGCGGCTGCGGCGCAAAACGAGCGCACGGATGCAGCCACGCACGCGCGCCGTGCACGCGTTCACTCTTGCATGCACGGCCGCGCTCGGCGATGCAGGCGCGCGCGCGCGCGCACGTCGCACATCGCTCACGCTCGCACGCACGTCTGGCGCAGACGTGGCCGCCGCGGTGCAGGATGCGACGGGGAGGCGCGGGCGCGCGCGCGCACACATGCGCATTCTCTTTGCGCGTGTCTTGGAGACGCGCCGAGGGCATCTCACCCACGGAGCGAGAGGTACAACGAGGTCAAGCAGCTTGAAGTGGCGCGCATGCAGGGGGAGGAGGAATGGAGACATCGCGAGACGATCGCATCGCATCGGACAGCTCTCCCTCGATCTCGATCCCATTGTGGAGGGCAGGAGCTTCATGCTGCAGGCTGATACGTGAGCGCCCCTGTCCCTCCTCCTCCTCCTTCTCCTTTTCTTCCCCCTCCTCCTTTTCCTCCTCCTCCTCCTCCTCCTCCGCCTCCTCCTCCTCCTCCTCCTCCTCCTCCTCCGCCTCCTCTCGACCCCATGCTCGAGCTCGAGCTCGCGCTCGGGTCCGACCTGCAGGGCTCCCCGAGCCTGGGGAGGGGCTTCGGAGGCTGGGCGTGCAGACACGGACTGCCGGACCCGCCTTTCTCGCGACACCCGGCGGACGCCCTGCGCCCCCTCTCGGCTCCAGGCGCCTCCCTCGCGCAGGGGCGCCGCAGGCGCCCGACGCCCCAGGCATCCAAAGGGTTGACAAAAATCAAGGCGGAGTTTTTCTCTCCGATTTTCGGCCTCTATAGGGGCCCTCGCCGGGCCCCGGGACCGTCGAAAGGACGGCTCAGGATGAAAAACCGGTCCCAGGGAAGGGGTCGAGTCTACTATAGGGGCCGCGCATGGAACGAATCACGACGTCGGATCTCTGGGGCTGGCCTGCCGCTTGCCGGGGCAGCCACCCGACTCTGCCTGCGTGGGCATGGCCGCCTCGCCCCTCGCGCCGGGGCCCGCCGCCGGGGCGGCGCGCGGCAGAATGGCGTCGCAGTCGCGCGCCCACCCGCTGCGCCGCTCCACGGCCTGGCGCTCGCAGACCCTCGCCGAGGCGCCTGGCGCCGAGAGGAGGCCGGGGCGGGCGCGGAGCGAGGGTCCGGCGCGCGAGCTGAAGGAGGGCGTGGCCGGGGTTCGGCTCGCCGCGGCGTCGCCCCGCGCCGCGGCCTCGGCGGCGGCCCCGACGTCGGGCCCCGGCGCCAGGGGCGCCCGGCCGGCGCCAGAACGGAGCGAGGGCGCCTCCCAGCTGCTTCAGGACGCCTCTGCGGCCTGCGAGGGCGCGTTCGAGGCTGAGGACCCTTCTCGCTGCTCGGAGGCCATCGGCCAGCTGGGGGCGGCGCTGGCGCGCGCCGGGCCGAAGGTGGGCATGTCGTCTGAGGCGGCGAGGTTCTGCGCCATGCTGTCCGCGGTCCTGCAGCACCCCTCGGGGGCCTGCCGCGAGGCGGCCGTGTGCGCCGCGGCCAGGGAGGTGGATGTGGCGCTGCTGCTGCGCTCGGCGCCGCGGGCGCTGAGCTGTCCCAACGGGCTCGACACGGCCCGGCGGCTGCAGGTGGTCGAGAACATCCTGCGCGCCGCCAGGATCATCGCGTCCGCCGAGGCTGGCGCGCTGGACCGCTGCCGGCAGTCGGGAGGCCTCGTGACGGCCATGGAGGTATGGCGCCAGGCGGGGCACGCCCCTGGCCCTCTGCGTGAGGCGGTGCAGCTGGCGCGGCTGTTCGTGCCATCGCAGGCCAGGGCGGTCGTGGCCTCTGGGGGCGTCGACATGGCCCTCGCCGCCTGGCAACGGTTCTCGCAGCAGCCCCAGCCCGTCTCGCCCGCCAGCAGCGGCCAGGCGGCGGCCTTCGACATCGAGCGGCATAACCTGGCGCTGCAGGCGACGGCCGAGCTGCTGCTTTCAATGCTGCCCTTCGTGGAGGCCCGAAGGCTGCTGCCGGCCACAGGGCCCACGGTGCAGGCGTTGCAGCACGCCTCGTCGGCGCAGGGGTCGCAGCGCGTGCTGCTGCTGTTGCTGCAGCTGGCGTCCAAAATGTCTCAGGACGCGGCGCTGGCGCAGAGCCTGGCGCAGCTGGGTACGCACAGGCTCGCGCTGGACCTGCTCGGCCGCGGGGACCTCACGGGCAGCGTGGCGATGAGGCGCGCCATGGCCAACGCCTGCGTCCACGTCCGCTTCGGAGCCTCCTCCGAACCGCGGAGGAGCTTGAGCGTCCTGCCCCGCCAGGTCGGCAGCGAGGACGCCTGCTCCGATCGGCGGCCCGGTGCCGCGGGCACCTTCGGCTGGCTCAGCCGCCTCCCCGACGTCTGCCCAGAGCTGGCGGGCCTCGCGGTGCGCGGCCTGTCCGTGCCCCCAGCGAGCCTGCCGCAGCCTGCGGCGTGCGCGGCCGCGCTGCACAAACACCTGCAAGCGCTCTGCGAGCAGCGCACGCCGCGCGCCCGCACGGCGGTCTTTCCTCCGCCGGCCGGCGGCGGCGCTGCCGAGGTCGCGGCCGCCCCGGAGGGCCACAGCGAAGCTCCACTCGTCTTCGACGCGAGCTTCGAGGGCGCAAACCTCCGGTGCGCCACGCTGCTGGGCCCGTTCGAGTACGAGCTGCAGCTGTCCGTGGACCTCTGCAACCCGGCGCACTGCCAGTGGTTCTTCTGGCGAGCGTCTGGCATGTCTCCAGGCCAGAGGTATACGTTCCACATCGTCAACTTGTGCAAGCCCGCAAGCTTGTTCGAGGAAGGCTCGCAGCCAGTGATGCTCTCACGCCGGCGCTACGCGGAAACTGGCGTTGGCTGGACGCGCGAGGGCGAGGACGTCGCGTACTACGCCAACGGGGCCGTCCTGGGCAGCGGGAAGGAGGACGGTAGGTCCAAGCCGGCGCACACGCTGTCCTTCTCCGTGGTGTTCCCGCACCGAGAGGACGACGTGTTCTTTGCGCACTTCTTCCCGTACACCCACCGCGACCAGCGGCTGGACCTGGAGCGGTGGCCGGGCGGGGGAAGGACGGTACATCCACTCCGGAGCGGTAAGCGGTCCGGAACGTGCTCAGAGCGCTTCAGAACTCAGGAGGGGAAAAAACACACAGAGACAATGAATCGTCGATCCCTCAGAAAATATGGGAAAATATGGGCAGTGGGGGGCAAGACGAAACCCAAGAGAATATGGGAAAATATGGGGAATCCGGTTCTTTGTGTGTCCCAGGGCCCCTTCAAGAACGCTCTGAGAAGGCCGTGGCGCCAGAGACGTCCCCCAGAACCGCCGCACCTCAGAAATTCCCAAGGACCCCCGACGCGTCGGCGCGTCATGGTTTTTTGAACGTCGATCCCCAGAGGTATGGACCCCTTCCCCGAGACCGGCTTTTCATCCGGAGTCATTGTCTGACGGTCCCGGGGCCCGGCGAGGGCCCCCGGAGGCCGAGAAGGGCGAACACAGCGCCCCTCGTGATCTTCGGTCAGCGCGAGGAGGGCTGGGATTCCGTATTTCTCCTCGCCCGATTTCGTCTTCGCCCTGGCGTCGTCTTACGCTGCCGTTTTTAATACATGCTCCGCGTGCGGATCATGTATTCAAAATTCAAGCATATTTAGCAGTAACAACAACCATGAGTTCACGCATAAATGTATTCATAAATTAATCACGTATTAAAATCTTATAGTATATATATATATATATATATATATAAATAAAAAAAAGTCATGTGTTAAAACTGCCCCGTACGCAGGTGGTGCGGAGGCAGGCCCCCCGCCGAGATCGAGCGCCGCGAGCTGCTGCGCACCCCTGGCGGCTTGCCCGTCGACCTGCTGCGCGTCGGCGCGCCGCTGGGCTCCAAGCCCCTGGTGGTCAGGGGCCACGACAGGGGGGGGGTACGCACACTCCGAGCTTCTGAATAAGCGTCGGGGGGGCGTCACCCCCGCCGACAGTCCCACATCGACCCCCGTCGCGGGCAGTCACCGCGCGCCGAAGGCGCTCCGACCCCCGTCGCGGCGCGACGACGAGGCGAGGTTGACCCCGTCGGGGGGGTCGCATGGGGGGGCACGCATACCCAGACCCCCGACGTTGTGATTCTTTCGCAACTTCGGCCCCCAGAGGTCTGGACCCCTTCCCCAGGACCGGCTTTTCATCATGCCCCTGATAATCATCCTCCGGGGATAATAAAGTTCGGGGTCGCGAGGGCATAATCAATATTGTGGGAGGAGGAGCAGGAGCAGGAGGAGGAGGACAAGGAGGATCAGGAGGAGGAGGAGAACCAGGAGGAGGAGGAGGAGGAGGAGGAGGAGGAGGAGGAGGAAGAGGAGGAGGAGGAGGAGGAGGAGGAGGGGGGACGCATGCCTGGACCTCCGACGTCGTGATTTGTTTCGCAACGTCGGCCCCCAGAGGTCTGGACACATGCCCTGGAACTGGCTTTTCATCCTGAGTCGCTTTCTGACGGTCCCGAGGCCCGGCAAGGGCCGCGAGGGACAGAATATTGAGAAAATCCTCCCCTCACGTTTTTCATGACCTGGAGGGGTCTGGGAGGGTCGAAGAAGAACAAAAAAACACCACTAACATAAGCTGTTGGCGCTCAACGCAGATTTCTTGGGTCCGCGCTGGGCCCCCCCCGGCGGCGCCTCCGACGCCGCCCCTGGCGCGCTCCGCGCCCCAGGGAGAGGGGCCCAGCGCAGATCGAAGAAATCCGCATGGAGCGCCAACAGTTTATGTTCTGTGGGGGGATGCATCGACGCTTTCGTAGGTTCTCGACGGCTTTCCAGCCTCTGGTCGCATAGGTCGGCGGCGAACGAGGGGGGGAATGAGAAGGAGAAGGCCTTCTCAGAAGGCGGTTGGACTTCTCGGAAGCTCTCGCGCCTTCTGAGAAGTTGTTTCGATCTTCGGGGAAGGCTCGGAAAACTTTCCACAAGGCCTGGGGATTTCCGAGCCTTCTGAGCAGGCCTGCTCCTTCTCGCTTCCCCCCCCCCCCTCGCTCGCCGCCGACCAGGGGGGGGGGGGGGATGCATCGACGTGATCTCGCAGGTTCCCGCGGCGACCTTCCAGCCTCGAGGGGGGGCACTCTCCGGCAGCCTGCGCCCCGCCGAGAGCGCGCCGGGGGGTGCCCATGATCCTCCCGAGCGGCCGCCGCAGAGCCGGGAAGCCATCGGGGTATGTAGGCTCCTGCGGGGGGGGGGGGGGGCGGGGGCGCGCCGACCCCCAATATCGCCCACCGAGTCGCAGATAGGGGCCTGATGGCTTGAAGTCGGGCCTGTCCCGCCACAGGGGGAATCTTCAGGAGCAGTCGAAAGTAGTCCAGGGACGAGGTTCGACTCTTTTGTATCGGGTCGGGCGAAAGGGGGGGATTGGGAAAGGGGGGGGTACGAAATTTGCTGCATGCAGCTGGTTTGGCCCCGCCGAGGGGCCCATTCCTCGATACATGGCCGCTCCGGCGCCGGGAGGCGCCGGGAAAATCAGCTACGTGAGCTGATTCTCAACCCCCCCCTTTGCTATCCCCCCCTTTCGCCCGACCCGAGAGGAATATTCAGGAGCAGTCGAGAATAGTCCGGGGACGAGGTTCGGCTCTTTTGTTAGCAGCTGGGGGCATGTCTTGACTGTTTTTATGTCTGCCGTCCAAAACCCGCCTGTAGGAGGACATGCCCGACTGAACGATAGCTCCCCCCCCCCCGCCCAGGAGCGTACGGATTTGCCGCTCCATCGGCGAGGCATCGCCGCTTCCAGGTCGACGTCCCCCCCCTTTTCCAGCCCCCCCTTATCTCGAAGAAGGACGGAACCACACAAAACTAAACTGTGGGGGCTCCGCGCAGATTTCTTGGATCCGCGCCTGGGCTCCCCAGCGGCGCCTCCGGCGCCACCCCTGGCGGGGTCCAGCGCGGATCCAAGAACTCCGCGCGGAGCGCCAAAAGTTCATGCTTATGCCGTGTTCTTTTTTTCTAAGATACATCAGCGAGGCATCGCCGATTCCAGGTCGACGTCCCCCCCTGTCCCAGCCCCCCTAGAGAGTGTTTACTTATTGCCTGGGGCATAATAGGCACTATAGCCCCCTCCCCCCTCCCCCCCCCCCTCTGACGTGACGCCCCTCCCTCCCTAGGTGCGTTCCGGGCGCTGCCGCCGTGCGCATCGGGCACACGGCGGGGGGAGGCGTTACATTATACCCCCCCCTGCCCCCCCTTATTTTAATATGTATATATATATACATACATACATATACATACACACATTTATATATACACATATACATATATATATATATAGATAAACAGTGCCCATTGTCGCCGAAAATGCAGCAACGCGCTCCCTATCGTTGCCTCTGAGGTGGTGCTCCTCGGGCGCGCGCACCCGGGGGAGTCGCCCGGCTCCTGGCTCATGCGCGGCGCCTGCGACTTCCTGCTCGCCGACGGCGGCGAGGGGGCCACCGCCTGCCGCTCGGCGCTGTCGTGGCTGATCGTGCCCATGCTGAACCCGGACGCTGCCAGTTTGGAGCAGATCCCTGTTCGGCCATACAGTCAAGACGCTGAAATATGGAACAGTTTGGGTTCCGAAGGGTCTCGATGTTCCTTAGGTTCCTCCAGTGTTGTTCCTCTTGCCCTCCCGGGGCACGGAGGCGCTTACAGGGCCAAGAAGGGGCTTCGTGCCTTATTTAGCGTTCCTTCTTTCAGCGGCCCGACTGTACGTCGCTCGGAGGCGGCAAAGAGGGAGGTGATGACTAATTAGGGGGGGGGGGAGATCATGGTGGGGGCCACGAGATCGCCCCAGATTTCATGGCGCCTCTTCTTATTTCAACACGTCCCTGTCCTCCCCCCCGCGCAGGCCGCACACGTGTCGCCGGCCATGATTTGCGCCGCCCTCTCTTGGACACCCCCGTCTTGGCCACCCCCGAGTAGCCCAGACATGATCGCGTCGCACTACACCAGAGAAAAACCCAATCAGTGGATGGTTTGGAATGGGATCGAAAATGAGATCGACCAGAAACCCGGGAACCCGGAAACCCAGAACCCATTGAAATCGGCCTGGAACCAATGACCAGGAACCCGGGAACCCGGAACCAGGAACCCGGGAACCCAGCCGGCCACCAATATCGGCGGGAAATTTTCGCCTAATCTTTTAATTTCCGCTAGGACTCCCTCAGTGCAAGCACTGATTGGGGAAAAAAAGATTCAGGACGGAGGTTGTTCGCCGTTTTCGGCGTCTATATGGGCCTTCACCAGGCCCTGGGACCGTCAGAAAACCACTCGGGATGAAGAACCTTTCCAGGGGAAAGGGCCGGGACCGGGGACCGCGTCTTGAGAAAATCAGGACGTCGCATGCCTGGGAAGAGAGACCTTTCGCCGGAGTGACCCTTGGCGCGGGCACACTGGGATCCCCGGAGGACTGAGCGCGATGTGGCAGCAGCGTCTTGCGCGCCTGGGCCTGGCCTCCCCATACGGCCCCCAAAGGTTGCGCACCCGTGGCCACTCTTGCCTGGGGTCACGCTTGCACGCAGCCGACCTGTCCCTGCGACCGGCACCGCCTCGTCTCGATGCCGGCCTTATAGGGATTCCCTCCGCTTCTGAGGGCGCCCCCGCCCTTGGCGGCGCCTCCCTCCGACCCCTCCAGGGGGCCGAGGCCGGGGTGTTCTCGAGCTCTTCTTCTAGAGGCGGGAACTGAAGGGTGGCGGGTTCTCCTCTCCTCTCTCCCCCTCTCCCGCTCTCGTGCACGCCGTGCCCCGCTAAATGTCCAAAAGCGCCCCCAAGATTGTGATCGCCTCTGGGCTTGCCAGTCCCAGGCAGAGGGATCAGCTCGAGGCTGGTCAGGACGGGGTGATGCTGGGCAACACGCGCACGAACGCCGGCGGGGTGGACCTCAACCGGCGCCACCACGACGACTCCGCGCCAGAGACCTCCGTGCTTCGCACCGCGCTCAACGCGCTGTCCAGCCTGGGCTCGTGGCCGCCGCTGGCCTTCGTCGACATGCACGGGCACTCCCGGCGCCGCGGCGTGTTCTTCATGGGCAACGCCGGGTCCAGCGCGCGGCTGCCCTGCCTGCTGGCCCAGCGCTCGCCGCTCTTCGACCTCTCCGGCACCGTCTTCTATGGCACCAAGGGGGGCAAGGATTCCGAGGCTTAGGATGTTCCAGCCTACGTTAGCCTTGACCACCAGAAAGAATTTCGAGCACCGAGGAAATACCGAAACTGGACGGTTTTCCCGTGTCGGGCCCTGGGAGGCGATACTCGTTCGGCACCTTGCCAGCGTGTCGGACAGACCTTGTCTCGATACTTTTATATGCGCTCGGAAGTATTAGTGGGATGTGGTCCTGAAGTGCGACGGCAGCAACATAATCCGAGTTGGAGAAATCGGCACGCGCACAAGCCCTCGGAGGCCCGCGCGGATTTCTGGGATCGGCGCTGGGCCCCCCTGGAAATCCTCCAGCGCCGCCCCTGTGAGTCCTCCGACCCGAGGAGCTGGCGCGGACCTCCGCTTCACCGAACTTTCGATCGATCGGCATCGCATACGGTCGGACCGAGGCGTGAGATCGAGGTCGGCTCGGGGAGGTTGCACTGGCGTTCTCCGTGTTTGTCGGATGCTCGCGGAGGGCCTCGTGCTCCTGCGGGAAGCTCCTCTGCCCCAGGTCCGACCCTCTAGGGGCTGCCGTGGCCAGCACGTGAAGGGAGCGCGCCGAACATGTGGCCAGATCCAGGGCCCCGCAGGGGCCCCCCAGACCCTCGTGGTACCCTGCCCTCGCCCATCCCGAGCCGCGCCGGCGTCGATCCTCTATACCCGCGCGCTCGGGGTTGTGCCAGCCGTGGTTCTGGCTATTCTCATTTGCTCCCAGCCATCCTGTGGTGTCGGGTCCTCGTTTCGAAGGGACGGTCCCCGCGTCCCTCTCCTCCTCTCATCCTCCCCCTCCTCCTTCTCTCACTCTTGGCCCCCCCCCGCGCACGCTTCGTGGCCCCACAGGGAGCTCCACCTGAGGTCCCAGTGGCGCAGCCCGCATGGCGTCGCCGCCCTATTTTGGCACACCCCTTACACGCATCGTGGCCCCATAGGATAGGAAACTCCACCTAAGGTCCCAGTGGCGCAGCCCGCATGGCGCCGCCGCCCCATTTTGGAACACCCCTCACACGCTTCGTGGCCCCATAGGGCGCTCCACCTAAGGTCCCAGTGGCGCAGTCCGCATGGCGGCGCCGCCCTATTTCGGCACACCCGTTACACGTTTCGTGGCCCCATAGGGAGCTCCACCTGAGGTCCCAGTGGCGCCGCATGGCGGCGCCGCCCCATTTTGGCACACCCCTTACACGCATCGTGGCCCCATCGGAATCTCCACCTGAGGTCCCAGTGGCGCAGTCCGCACGGAGACGCCGCCCCATTTCGGAACACCCCTCACACGTTTCGTGGCCCCACAGGGAGCTACACCTGAGGCCCCAGTGGCGCAGTCCGCATGGCGGCGCCGCCCTATTTCGGCACACCCCTCACACCTTTCGTGGCCCCACAGGGAGCTCCACCGAATGTCCCAGCGGCGGAGTCCGCAAGGCGGCGCCGCCCCATTTTGGCACACCCCTTACACGTCTCGTGACCCCACAGGAAGCTCCACCTAAGGTCCCAGCGGCGCAGTCCGCATGGCGGCGCCGCCCTATTGTGGCACACCCTTCACACGCTTCGTGGCCCCATAAAGAGCTCCACCTGAGGTCCCAGTGGCGCAGTCCGCATGGCGGCGCCGCCCCGTTTTGGCACACCCCTCACACGCTTCGTGGCCCCATAGAGAGCTCCACCTAAGGTCCCAGCGGCGCAGTCCGCATGGCGGCGCCGCGCCTTTTTGGCACGCCCCTCGCACGTCTCGTGGCCCCAATAGGGAGCTCCACCTAAGGTCCCAGTGGCGCAGTCGCCATGGCGGCGCCGCCCGGTGTTGGCACACCCCTCACACGTTTCGTGGCCCCACAGGGAGTTCCACCTAAGGTTCTGCGCATCGCTGTTATCATCGCCATCATCGCCGCTCGCCTCTCGCACGTCTCGTGGCTCCATATGGAGCTTCACCGAAGGCCCCAGTGGCAGCGCCCGCATGGCGGCGCCGCCCCATTTCGGCACATCCCTCACACGTGTTGTGGCCCCATAAATGGGGCTCTACATCAGGCCCCAGCAGCAGGGCCCGCATGGCGGCCCCGCCCCATTTCGGCACACTTTTCACTGGCTTCGTGGCCCCATAAGGAGATCCACCGAAGGAGATATTAACAACGACGCTATTCATAACTGCATATTAGTGGGTCCTTCGCCAGGCGGCATAGAAAATATGCTTAGTGATAGTATTAGCATGATTTGCATTATTGCTATCCGTCATAGTATCAGTATTCGCATTGTCAGTCTTATCAGTACTAGTACTCTCAATAGCCTCTTCATGAGTAGTATGATTGCGCTTGTCATTCGTGTTATTACTATTGATATATGGTTCGTATCCTGTGTTTGATTCGTACGCTAGTGCTGATGCTCATTCGCATCAATAGTTTTAGTAGTAGTAGTAGTAGTAGTAGTAGTAGTAGTAGTAGTAGTAGTAGTAGTAGTAGTAGTAGTAGTAGTAGTAGTAGTAGTAGTAGTAGTCGTAGTAGTAGTAGTAGTAGTAGTAGTAGTAGTAGTAGTAGTAGTAGTAGTAGTAGTAGTAGTAGTAGTAGTAGTAGTAGTAGTAGTAGTAGTAGTGTTCGTAGTGTGTGTTGTTATTAGAACCGTCGCTATCACTACTGGTTTACTGTTGCTGTGTTTTGTCATACAGTATTAATAACAGCTGTGGCACTCGCATTGCTATTGGTTTCCGTGTTAGTGTGGTTCGTAGTATTACTACTATTCGTATTACTGGTGTTAACGTTGTTCTGACGGTAGATGCGATCACTGTCCCTTTCGTGTGGTACTATATCACAAATAGTAATAAGCATACGAAGAATATGTAGTAGCATTACGATTGCTGTTAACATGTATGCTTATTATCACCATTACTAGTATCATCATTCCTTATCCCCTTCTTCTTCTGAGGACGCTGGCGTCGGGCGCGTGGCGATGGCGGCGCGCGGCTGCCCCCACAGCTTCACGATGGAGGCCTCCTTCGGCGCGCTGGGCGGCTCCGACCGGCTGCTGGCCCCGGGGGACCTGGAGGCGGTCGGGCGGGACTTGTGCCTCGCCGTGCGCGAGCTGACAGAGCCGGAACTGGAGCCGACGGTCTTCGCCCCCGCGACCTCGGACGCCCCCGACGACGACTGAGGCGGGCCAGGCAGGAGGCCCTGCCCGTCTCCTCCTCCTCCTCCTCCTGCTCCTCCTCGTCCTCCTCCTGCTCCTCCTCGTCCTCCCTCTCCTCCTCCTCCTCCTCCTCCTCTCCTCCTCCTCCTCCTCCTCCTCCTCCTCCTCCTCCTCCTCCTCCTCCTCGTCTTTATCCTCGTCCTCGTCTTTGTCCTCCTCCTCCTCCTACCTCCTCCTCCTCCTCCTCCTCCTCTTGCTCCTCCTCCTCCTCCTCCTCCTCCTCCTCCTCCTCCTCGTCCTCCTCCTCGTCCTCGTCCGCCTCCTCCTCCTCCTCCTCTTCCTCCTGCTCCTCCTCCTCCTCCTCTTCTCCACCTCTCCCTGTGCGGGCCCGAACGCGACTCGATCCAGCCCGATCTGGGCTCCCGCCCGCAGGGGGAGGGAGGCGGAGGGAGGAGGAGGAGGAGGAGGAGGAGGAGGAGGAGGAGGGAGTCCTCGTCCCCACCTCTCCGTGTGCTCCTCCCCCACAGCATGCGGGCCCCGATGCGACTCGATCCGATCCGACCTGGATTCCCGCCCACAGGGGGAGGAGGGAGGCCGAGGGAGAAGCAGGGGGAGGCTGAAGGCAGCTCGGTGGCGGCAGCAAGTCCGACTGGCCCTCCTGACCCGGTGCAGCCCTGTGGGGCTGGGAGGGACGCGCCGCTGAGCTCTCCGTCACGGTGCGGCGCTAAGGCGATGGCCACATTTTGAAAGCGGGCCGTCCTCCATCCGTGAAGATGTTGCGCGTGTCAAGCTTAAGGACCGCAATGTGTGAGGAAGTCTCACGCGACACGCCCAGCCCGCCCTTTCGATCGGCCTCGGGGTGCGACAGGGAGGCGGTATTTATAAGGAAAGAAATGAAGGAGGAGGAGGAGGAGGAGGAGGAGGAGGAGCACGAGCAAAAGGAGGAGGAGGAAGAAGAGGAGTGTCCACGACAGCCTGACGAGCTCCGCATGCGCGGCGCGCCGCCCGCCCCGAAGTGCAGTGGGCGACGGGTCGAGGCCCAGGCCACGGCGGGTCGAGCAGTGCCCGGGCACCAGGCCTCTGCGCGAGCTCCGCGGCCAGTCTTGAAGTCGGACATGTCCCTCTATCTGCACGAACGAAATGGGCACGGAAAGAATGGGCACAATGCCCAACAGCGGATCTGGTTCACTTTGAGCAGGACTCGCTGCCCACGCCGCCGCGGCCTGTGTTCGTTCGGGACAGAAGGCCGCCTGCCCAACAGCGGCCGCTGTTGGTTTGGGACAACATTTGTTGTTGGGCATTGTACCCATTCTTTCCGCACCCATTCCGGGCGTCCAAACTCTACGGGAGGACTTTTCAAGAATAGTCAAGACATAGTCTGGCGACGAGCTGTCGCACTCTTTTGGCAGTGTTTGACCATCTTTCGGCTCTTTGTCTCTTCCTCGCTCATCTGCATTCGACAGTGTTGCAGGATGATTGGCAATGCCCGTACTCTGTTTTGACCATGTTGGATGATTGTTTGACGATGTTCCGCTGTTCTTCCAAACTCCGCCTGTAGGAGCCGAGCACTGTCTTTGGGTGGAGGGCAAAGGGTGAAATCTGAAATGCCGTTTCGATGGATATTCGAGGCTTGAATACGCAAAAAGTGAATCACAAGACGGATCGATCTTCGAGGTGCAAAAGCCCATATGGATTTCACCCTGAGCCCTCCGCCCTAAGAAAATGCTCAGAGGGGGACGTGGCAGAACTAAGGCCACTCTTGTTCTCGGCTGCCTTCGAGCGCGGCGCGGACCCGCGCCGCTGCGACCCAAGAAGCTTCACGGTGGACCTCGGAGGCCGCTCTGCCCGTCGCACGACTCGCGCTGCCCGCCGCCCGGCTCGGCCACCTCCACGGCACATCGCGGCTCGGGGAAGCGTAAGGCTCGAGTACGCCGGCATTCGGGTTGGCCCGCGCCTGTCCTCGACTAGACGTAAGAGTGACCTTTCGCCGGAGTGACCTTTGGTGCGGGCACAGATGGGTCCCCAGATGGCTGAAATCGAAGCAGGAGCAGCGGCTTGCGCGCCCAGGTTTGGCCTCCCCGCGGCCCCCCAAAAAGCCGCGCACCAAGGGTCATTCTTACCCAGGGTCACTCTTGCGTGTAGCCGATGTCCTGACTCTCGACGGTCCAGTTTTCGAGGGACGCCTGCAGAGCGGGCGCCCGCGTCCACTTCCGGACTGGGTCGCGCCGTTTTCTTGACGGCCCCGTTGGGCCGACCCGAGCCCCCCTGGCCTTGAGTCGGGCATTTCCCTCTACAGGAGGAATATTCAAAAATAGTCACATAATAGTCGGGGGAAGATGTTTTCACCATTTTTGAGCCTTTTGGGGAGGCATGCTTTGACTATTTTTTAATTCTTCGTCGAAATCCCCCCTGAAGGGGGGCACGCCCAACCCAAGCCCAGCCTCAGCCTTGCGCCTCCCCGACCGGTGAGCCTCCCGGCCTCTCGGCGTGCTGCGGGCCTGCGCTGCAGCTGCGACCCCGGCCGCGCAGCACCCGGCGCCCTGTGAGGCCCGGGCCTCTGCCATTGGGGCCGCCCGCCAGGCGCAGGCCGCCGCGCGCGGCACCCCGAGCCCGCCCTCCGCCTCGGAGGGCCACGGCGCCCTCCGGCAGCGGCGGTCGGAAGGCCGGGCTGCCCGCCGTCTGCTCCGGGAGCGGGGGCCCTGAGACGGGGGTCAACGCAAACGGGGGTCAGCCAGAGCGCCCGACCTTGCAGGATCCTGCAGGGCCAGGGTCGCGCTGACCCAGGCTTGGGTGCAGGATCTTGCAGGATCTTGCAGGATTCTGCAAGGCCTGACTGACCCGGGTCTGGATTGACCCAGGTCAGCAGGACCCCGATGTGGGAGCGGGACCTGCCCTCCCCGGGGTAAACTGATGGCAGAGATCGGCCCCGCCGTATGCGATCAAGAGCTTTGGCTCAGCGAGTCGCTCCGCCAACTCTGACCTAAAACACGCTTCGGCGCAGCGCGTGGATGGATGAGAAGGAGGAGGAGGAGGAGGAGGAGGAGGAGGTGGATAATTATGGCGGAGGCGGAGGTGGAGGAGGAGGAGGAGGAGGAGGTGGAGGAGCAGCAGGAGGTGGAAGGAGGATGGGGAGTGAGGAGAAGGGGGTGGAGTTGTTGAGGGAGGTCGGAGGAAGATGGGGAGAGAGGAGCGGAGGGCGAGGGGGAGAAGGGAGGAGGGTAGAGGGAGATGGGGGAGGGAGAGGAGGGGAGACGAAGGATCCTTACTTGATCGATGCCGCTTTGGATTCCGATGTAGCCGCTCCGATTCCGATTCTGGCCCGAGACGGCAGGGAGATGCCGGTTCCGATCCGATCTGCCGCGCGCAATTCCGAGTCCTTCCCATCCACCTCGGATCCCCTTCGATTCGGGGCTTCCGATCCGAGAGCGGACTTGCTCAGGGCCAGCACTTCAACGACGCGACCACGGGGTGCGGCATCCCTCGGGCGGGCGAGGCCCCGTCGCCAGGCCTCCCCGCGGGGCGTGGGCGCAGCGAGAGGGGCACGGCCCACTGCAGCCTGTTGCTGTCCCAGCCTGGCGCCGTTCTGCCCGGGCCCCACGGTGAGCCCGCGCGCCCGCTAGGGGTCCGCAGCGCGGCAGCGCGACCACGACGCGCGGTGCCCCTGAGACCTGCGGGGCTGGGTGGACGGTGGCCTTGGTGGACCGTGCCCTGGTGAAACAACTGCCCGCGTAGTCTGGTTCACCGCTGCCCCTCCTTCAGGCCTTCCCATTATCCTCTCCCCCCCTCCGTCCCTCGAGCCCTCCTCCTTCCGAGCCCTTCCTCCTCCTCCTCCTCCTCCTCCTCCTCCTCCTCCCCCTCCTCCTCCTCCTCCTCCATTTTTTCAGGACGGCGTCCCTGGAAGTCCCGCCCCTTTCCCTGGGACCGGTTTCTCATCCCGAGTCGTGTGTTTTGACGCTCCCGAGGCCCGGCGAGGGCAACCCGAGGCCGAACGCCGGCAAGAACCTCCCCTCGACGCGCTCATGTCAGGGAGGACAAGGGGGGCTCATGTACAGTGGGGGCGTGCATCAAGAAGCCGTGTGCTTTCGTCGCGGTATCCTGGGTTTCTTCGCTCCTCGCGCTGCGCGGTGACTCCCCGCAGCCGTTGGAGGAGCTGCTGCGTTCAGGGTGCTCCAGGTTTCCCCTCAGGTGCACCTCGCGCACGGGCTCTCAGGGTTGAGCTTCTTGCGAGGGGTTCTTGCTGCCGCGCCCGCGCTGTATGAGCCCCCTGGTTCTCCGGAGCCCCCTTATAGGGGAAGCCTCTGGAGTCGCCAGGAGGCCCGCAGCCCACCTCCGCCCAGACGGGTGGCCCCGGCAGCGGGCGCGCCCCGGCCACGGCCTGCGCGCAGGAAGGAAGGCGCAGGCCAGGGGCAGGGCGAGTGCCGTTTGCTGCCCGGGCTGGCGCCGGAGAGCGCCAGGCGAGCGCCGCTGGGGCTTCACCTGCCAGTGCCCGCCGCCGCCGCCGCAGCGGCCGCCGAGGAGGCCGCCGAAACGCCGAGGCGGGCCGGGAGCGAGGCCCTGCCGCCCTGCCTGCCCGAGGTCCGCGGCGACGGCGTCTGGGCCTACGAGCTGAGGGGCAGCGCCGACCTGTCCGCAGCGGGCGCGGCCAGGGAGGGGGGGGGGGGGGGGGGGCAGGTACAGGAAGGGCAAGGGAGGGCAAGGCAAGGGGGAGGAGGAGGAAGGAGGAGGAGGAGGAGAGGAGGAGGAGGAGGAGGAGGAGGAGGATGGAGGAGGAGGGAGGAGGAGGAGGAGGAGGAGGAGGAGGAGGGAGAGGAGGAGGGGAGGAGGAGGAGGAGGAGGAGGAGGAGGAGGGAGGAGGAGGGAGAGGAGGAGGGGCAGGAGGAGGAGGAGGAGGAGGAGGAGGAGGAGGAGGAAGAGCAGGAGGAGTCAGAGGAGGAGGAGGAGGAGCAGGAGGAGGGAGGGAGGGAAGGAGGGAAGGAGGGAGGGCGGGAGGGAGGGAAGGAGGAGGGGGATGACGAGGAAAGAAGTTGTGGAGGTGACGGCGGCGAACTGAGGAGGCAGGGGTTGAGGGTTGAGGAGGATGGGGAGGGGCGAGGAGGTGGGGACTGAAGAGGATGGCACCCCCGCGCTGGCCTCTCGTTTCCCCGCTCCCGCGCTCGTGCTGCTTGACCGCGGTGCCCCTCGAGGTGAGCCGATTGGGAGCCGTGGCCCCCATGTGGGAGGGAACCAGCCGTCCCTGCTCGCCGGGGCACCGAGAGGTCGCCGCGCTCTGCCCAGACATCCTGTGCCGCCCTCCACGGGTCCTCCCGCCCACAGGTCCCGCCGCCCCGCTGCCCTCGGCTGCGTCTGCTCGGGGCCCTCCCCCTTCCTGGCTGCGCCCCCGCTGGCTATGATGTTCCTCCTGCTTCTCCTGCTCCTCCTGATCCTTCTCCCTCCGCCACGCTCCACCTTCTGCTCCGTTTCCCCCTCCTCGCCCCCAGCACACGCACACACACACACACACACACACACACACACACACACACACACACGCGCGCACACACACACACACACCCACACGCACACGCACACGCACACGCACACGCACACGCACACGCACGCACGCAGCACGCACGCACGCAAAGGCAAACACTCTTCGTGTCCCGCCGCTGCGCGTGGAATGGCACGTGGCGCGCGGCTGCGCTCGGACCTCATCCTGCCGCTCCCGCTGCAGCGGTGATCACCATGACATGGTCCATTATAGTTATTATTTTCATTCGTATGATTATTATGATTCGTAGTCTGGCCAGCAAAAAATGTGTTCATTAGTATTATGGTTATTATGCTTCTTCTTCGCATACGTGTTATGAGTACTGCTCTTAATATTGCTATTAGTAAGACTACTAGTTGAGTAATGCTCTCATTGTTATTTGTAGTAATATTGTTCACATAATCGTTAGTCTTATCAGTCTTCTTATTATTAGTGATAGTACGCCGATCGGGCGTGTGAGTTTCAAAAGCCCTCAGAACAGCCTGAGCCTCAATTCCTGAGCTTCAGCTCTACTGGGGGGTGGGTGCCGGGGTGGCTCTGCCGGGGTAGGGGGAGGGGGGGTGGGTCGATTTAATTCCCGGGGCGGAATCGGAGCTCCCGCTCACTCCGGGACGGCCCCCTCGCCCAGGAGGGCTCAAACATGGGCCAAGAGGGCCCCGAGTCGCCGAACGATCACTACAAGACGCCCAAGATGTCCCCAAGACGGCTCCAGAAGCCTCCGAGATGCCTTCAGAAGCCTTGAAAAAGGCCTCCCAAAGAAGGCCCGAAGAAGCAAAAAATGCCCCGTCCCCGGGGGAAAACGTTCAATTTTGGTATATTCGCCTCTTGGGCCTTCGGAGCGTCGCGGACGCACTAAGAGAGCCCCAAAACTGCCCAAGAAGCCGCCAAGAGGACTCCAAGACGGCCCAGGAAGGGCCCGAGATGGCCCAGGAGGCCCCCGGAAAGGCCCAAGAGGGCCCCAGGACGGGCCCAAGAGGCGCCTGAGAGGGCGTCAAGACGGCGGAAGAAGTGCCGAAGACGGCCCCAGAAGCCTTCAGCAGGCCCCCAGAGGCCCCCATGAGGCCTGAAGAGGCCCCAAGACGCTTCCAACTGGCCCCGAAGAGGCCCTCTGAAGCCCCCATAAAGGCCCCCAAGAGTTTCAAAAAGTGCATCCAAGACGCCTTCTAGAGGCCTCCAAGCTGCCTCCAAGACTCCCCCAGAAGACCAAAGCCGGCCCCAATGCTTCCACAACGTTCACGTCTGAACACACGCGTTGCAATACAAAAGGTTCTTCCACGCTTTCGCATCTTCTCCCGTCTTCGGTGCCCTTCACATCCATGATC